TAGACGCGTTTTACACCAGTTGGAGAGAGCAACTTTCAGCACAAAGTTCTACAAATTCGTTGTTGGAGAGTTCAGTGCTAGAGTAGGAAGAGCAAAGGAAAATGAATACAGGCCAGCAATATTCGAAACTTTTCTTCTAATGGTATGCATTTCTCAATAAAACAGAAAATAGCTTATGGGTATGGAGGTCTTCTAACAGCAGGACTCCTTCGGAGATCGATCATATCCTCTCAAACAAAAAATAATGCCTCTTTGACACCTCAGCGGTACCTGGATTCTGCACCCGAAAAAAGAACTAGTGCCCTCGTTCAGGAAAAAAGAAGTAAGTCGTGTATGACGAGGATATTCCCAATGAAATTCTTTTCTCATATGATTGGCAGATAAATGAGGAACTGACCAAGGACTACACAGTGCTTGTCACATGATTCAAAACTTGCGCCGAACTCGTCTCAGTTCCTTAAAGAAAGAGTTCAGACGGCTCCTCTATTACCCCTAAGAAGTTGCTCAAGAAAAGAAGAGTGAAGTTTGATGCTGTTGCACCACACTTAACGCGCATGATAATAACTGTAAATCGTAGGAAATTTTTCCAGGAGGATTTACATCAATATAGGCAGAAAACGTTGGTTGATGCAGTTTGAAAACGATCTAGCGTAAAGGAGTGCCGACGCAGACCGTGTTACTAGAGTGTTCCGCTACTCTCCCTGATAAACGAAGATAGGAATATAACCATGTTCCGCCGAGATATGGAATTGATAGCAGAAAAGATCTATTCCAACCCTCTTCACTCCACAATCCTGTTTATAACACCGAAATTCCTGCTTGAGAAGAACCGCAAGAGAATTTATTCTCTGAAGTTCAAGTTGATGCAGATGGCATGGAGATATCCAAAGCTATAGGACGCGGTGGTATCATCGCCAACTTTATTAGAGCTACAAACCACCTTCTATTTGCTTTTTTCTAAACTCCCATTTTAAATTCGAAAAGAAAAATCTTAGGCAAGCCGAAGAAGTCTCGTATGGTCATCCTGCCCATGTATGAGCGAAGGAAATTTCGCAACTTTCGGCCAATTGCCTTTTTTCGCACAGCAAGGTCTTGGATGAGACACAACCCGCTGGGCAGGCAGGATTTCAACAGACATTTTGCACTGTGAACCAGATACAAAGTGTGTTGACGGGCATGGAACTTTATCGTGTATACTACTTGCTCCTAGTCCTGACTTTTGTTGTGTATGAAAAGCGTTTGTTTAACAAAGTGGAAACGATTGCAATCCTATCAGAGCTCGTCGACCAAAGAGTGGACCAAACCTGCAAAAGAACTTCGTCCGACCATTTTCAGAACTAAGCTACGAAGATAGGTTTCTTCCATTTTCCATCGACTCCTCACCATGTACAGAGTAGAATGGGTTCGACAAGGCGACACCATATCGTCAAAGCTGTTTAGTGGTGTATTGAAGCGGATAATAAGGTCACTGGATTGGAACGAGAATGGCATAGGTATTGAAAGAGAAATTCTGCAAGCGATGTTTTTTTATGTGACCCCGTCTTCACGTCTATTATGAAGATACCAGCACTTCTCATATTCCATTTGTTGCCTCATATCTTTCATGCGCGAAGCTCTTCCAACTTTTACGTCTGGCTTTTCTGCTGCTTTTCGATTTTAATTTCATCTGGCATGCCGTAAGATGCTGGTCGAGTCGATTCTCTATACAGTCCTGCGATAGCCAAGCTGGAACGTTCCCAATTAGATTGCAGAGAGTAATTCTTTCCAGAAAAAGAAGCTCGGCACCAATTTCCAAACTTTGGATGAATGAGAGGTTTCGTTGGCTGTGAGAGGAATCGAACTAGCATCGTGCTCATGATCACCGACATCTTACCACTGTGCTATCCTCTTCTTACTAGCGATTTTTAGCTAGACGAAAAGAAAAAGGCGATCCAAAACTGTGTATGAAAAAGACGAAGAGACAGTTCATGAAGAACCTATAGTGCGAAGACGAACAAATTCAACTGGGTGGTTTTCTTACTACACAAACCACCTTGTACGTGTATCTCGGGCGTTCCATGGACATGGAGAAAAACATGAAACAGGAGCTAGACAAAAGAAGGACAGCAGCATAGTCTTTATTCGGCTACTCAAAAAAGCCACCGGCGAACTAACGGAGCTACAACTCCATCTTCACTTTTTTGGTTCAACGGTCCTTTAAGCAGTCTGTTATGAGGCAAAGGTGTGAGTTGATAGTTCATCCACGTTTAGAAAATAAAGAGCGATTGAACGATGTCTTCTGAAATTTGACCGCACTCACAGCTAGAAGACGACGCAGATCTTCTAAGCCTATCTCTTCTTTGAAACCGAGAAAATTTTGGAATCCAGATCAAGATGATCCAGCTCATGATCATAGGACTTATATAGTGAAGCACAAATCGGTCATCCACAAAATAAGAAGATCAGATGACAGATGGACGAAAAGAAGAAGAAGGTAGACTTCGAAAAAATGCAAGCGTCCTCTTAGAGCGACACCCAAATGGTGAGTTGAGGTGTTCGCGGCTAAAGTGAACCATCTGCATTCGCAAGTGGAAAGGATTTTAGAACCACAGAACGAGCTCCGCCATGTTCGAAGTAGACGAAAACCGTTGACGACGTCAGCGCAAAAAAAAACACGAAGGAAGATCGTGCTGGGACCCTTGAAAGCAGTGAAGATAAGCCATCCAAGTATCCAAAGACATTAGATTAGTTCTGTTCGTTCTAGAGACATGTTGAGCATCAATTTTTTTCTCCAAGAATCTCTGAGAAGAAAAGTGAAAAAGAGGTTAGAGGTTTTTCAAATGCACGTTTTATACTGTGTGAAGCTGAGTCGGTAACGATTTTTGTCTACCAACGGTCTTCAAGACGGTAACGTTTCGCGTCGACTTGATTTTTGGCATAATGGCTTTTGTGACAGCGTTTCTCTACTTCGATCGGCGGTGTAAGTCGGTGCTCACTTCCTCTCTCAATTTTCAGATACAGTATGAGGTATTTATAACATCTCTCTCTCTCTCTCTCTCTCTCTCTCTTATTGAAGCGTTAGATAACGCTGTATGGTCCATTGACCCTGTTTATGTAGCGTGTAGCTTTCAGACGCACAGGTTTAGCAGAAAATACCATGGAGTTAAAAAAATGGGCGCGGAGCTTGGTCTATATCCATCCTCAATGCCCTCGTACGCTCTCACTTCAGCTGAGTTTTAAACCTTAGAAATTGCTGTCTGCTCGAACCAGACATGCACAGCTGGAACATTCTAAGGTATTCATTATGGTGACATTGAAGAGCTTAATAGAAACGAAGATGTTTTCTTTGTGCATTGTTCTGTTGATGCTCAACTGAAGGTTAATTCCTTCACAAGTGGTATCGACATCGGATAGTATTCGTTTCGCCTAATTAGTGCATGATTGTACAGGAATGATATTGCCAGCAAAGCAAAGATAGTCTAGGCGATTGGGCAGTCTTCGAAGCTTACCAAGATTCCATGAGGTTATCGCATAACGTTCTAAAGAATGGCACAAGTAGTTTTGGTAATCCAAGCTCTTTCTTGAAGCTGCTTTAAAAGAGAGGATGGCGATAATAAATCGCTAGTGGTTTTCTATGTAGTCTGCAAGCACTGAGATAACTCTCTTTTGCTGTGCAAAACCAGAATCTCCGTTCTTGGCTCAATTAAGCTGAGGCTTTTTTAAGGCAGTAAAAGTGGAGCAAAGCGGAATGAACATCGTCGCGAAGCCCACTCCGTTCAGCAGACAACTAGTAGCTTTAGGCCTGTGGTTAGAGCCTTGTCGGCTCTTTGAGAATGCATCTACCCGACTAGCTGGTTAGCAGTCTTTAGTATCAATATACAAAGTACATTGCTTAAAAATAAAGCTATTGATTTAGGGCCACTCTTTTGTCGAAAGGCACATGTTGGAAAAACGGAAGAAGGTACTGTGTATTTTACCGTATGAAGCTGTCTGGCGTGATGAGGCAGTGTTAGAATAGCGAACGACGCAACTAAGACTATTAAGAGGCGTACCACCTAAAACAAGATTATTGAAAAAACATATTGACATTGCAAAGAGATTTAGAACAAAAAAAAATTATAAAAAAAATTCACCTAGATTGATTATTTAAATTAGTGAAGGTATCACAATGCGTACATCTGAGTGAGGGAAAAAAGATTAAGGACAACGGTTAAAGTTCTCAACGTTGATCAATCCTTGAGGGATGCTCCATGCATTCGACTTCATTAAGCGTCGTTTGGAGGTGATTTAAATGCATCTCTGGCCTTTACAATGACTCGAGGTGGCGTACCGATGTATCGAGCCAGTGCTGCCATCCTCTCAGACAAGTATATCTGGTGCAAAATTGCCGATCCCAGAAAGATGGAATGCTTGGTGGGCCATAGGCGGGGGATTAATTTCCCTTGTGTGCTGCAGGGCGCCTCCGAAAACTGAGCCACACCAGCCCACGGTGGAAGGGTTAGAAAAAACTAATTTGTAAGCTATTTAACTGCAAACTTCATGCAAACTCATTCGTACAAATCTAACAATCTTATCTTAGTTTAGGAAATTGTATATGATTTATTATGAAATGTACTTTTCGACCCCAGGCGTTTTCGCGAATTTGAAACCCCTTCTCAACCACGGGCATTTCCGTGCGTCAGGCCCATTGGACCACGTGTTATTGGAGCACAACTGAAAAGCGCATTGAACTGAAGATATACGGTCCAAAGCATACAGCCGCGTACATATTGAACTTAATGCACATGGCCGTGAAACGGCTAATGAACGCGTCGGTATAGATGACGCGGCAAGCGTGCGTGCGTGCATGATCACGTGCATGCGTGCGTATTTGAAGCAATGCTATCGAATTGAAGCTAGGTATTAAGAAAACACCTCATAAATTTAATTCCGCAACTTTATAAATTGTTTTACGTTGGCGGGAAAGCGAAAATCTCAGCCAAAGAAATCAACGAGGCTCTACTATTTGATTAAATATGAAATCAGATACAACTTTGTAGGTGAACATGCGATGGTGGTGATGGCACAACACGACAACGAACCCATGCAGGTGTAGCTCTATCGTAGTTGTGCAGTGGTGATGAATACTGAACCTTTCTGCGAGTTTCGGTTAGATCACGTTGACGTCTTTTCGCACCCAAATCGTCAGTCACTTGTAGCAGTGATTCTTGTCTACAGATGGTCGTCTTTCCATTTGACATCTGTGATGATAGACCAGACGGCGCATTGCATTGAGAATCTAAACGTTTTTCAATTAAAACAAAATGAAAGTGGCCAATTCTCCGTCTCTCTAATAAAGTTAATCTTAGTTTAAATCGTCTGGCATAAGCAATAATTCATTTGCAATTAAGGAAATTGACCAATACATGTGAACATGGCGTGCTTGTCTTCATCAATAATTTGAGGAGGTGTTATAGAAAACAGAACTGTAGATTTAACTTTTATTTAAGACCTGTTCTGCTTTTATGAGAAGTTACTGTAGTTACAGCAGTTATACGAGGCACAATCACAACGATGTTGAGATATGAGCAAAAGTAAGTGAAAGCAATTTCGCGTTAGAAGCCCAGCTGAGCGTTTTTAAAAAGATGCCTTCCATGGTATTAAAATTTGTTTATCAGGATTTTCCTATTCAGGATATGGAAGTATCCGGCCGCCTAGATTTAAGCAACTTAACCTTTACGTGCTACGAAGAAGGCGAAATCCGCTGAAACGTCGGCTACTGTTAATAAATAGCGTGATAACAACCTTGTGTTTGCTCATCGAGAAAACAGGATATTATCGGTCAATGCCGAAAAGAGCTGGTCTTGGAAATCATTAGCTAGGATTATTTTTTTTCGAAAAGAAATATATACTTTAGCCTGACCCCCGTTCACTAATACGCTGTGAGCATAAGATGGTGTTTCTTGGTTGACGAGCTCCGGCTTACAAAAGCAATTTATGTTTCATTAATAGAGTTGCCAAAACTGAGGGCGAGTTTGGCATCTGTGTCCGAAAGCACTGCTAAACGTAAACTGATGCCGGGAATTGCCTCCATTCTGGCAAAAACCTGGTGATAATGTAGTGGACCTCTTAATTAGCAGCAGCCGACGACCATCTGTAGCAACACCACAGGAAACTTTTTGACACGGATCCAAGTTCTCAGAAAAAATTTTGCTTTGTTAGCAACATGACGGTTCGATAAATTAAGAACGGAACGATTTTTGGTTGAAACAAAACATTTAAATGAAAAACTCTAACTTACCATTACTCGGTCGCGTTACGGTAATTACACAACTGCCGCTTCTCCACAACATTATGCCGATATTTGTGTACATCAATGCTAATAGTGCCAATGGCACAACATACCACAGCACAAAGGATATTGTAACCCAGATGCGAAGTCTGGAATTGCCGATTTGTCGCTAGCAATTAATACATTTCAACGGTTAATGGTTTTTAAGCCAAAAACTGATAACGGTCCGTAACAAAAAGTTCGAATGTTCTAGATATTCTTCTAATCGACCGTCGTTTAATATCTGCATTGATAAGCAATACCTTCTTTGGATATTAAGATAACATAGAGCTACAAAATGGTTTACTCTGCTAAATTTTTGATGTCTGCCGAAAATGGAGAAGACGAAAGACGCTCAGGCCGAAACCACTTTGAGAACTTCAAAGTCTCGAAACGTTTGCCGAATAAACCTTTTCATCAACTTTGCACTAGCTTTGTAATCCAAGAAGGTAATGTTTTAAACGTTTCTGTGTATCAAACGAACCGAACACTGCGTGCGACCTTGCGTTCAAACTGTTCTAGAAAAACTATTGACTTTATTAATTGTTTTTATTAGAATACTGTACGGAACGTTGTTGACTTATATGAACTCGCACACTTAAGATCCTTGACCATTTAATTACTTCTAAACAATCATGTTTGATGATTACGATAAATAAAAAGGACAGCTCACGTGTCTGTTCTACCGCATGCTGCCGCTGTGTCGCTGAACCGATAGAGACGGATATTCAAGGCATACGGTATGTTGGATGCGATACTCAACAACCAGGTAACGATTGTCATTATGAAACGAACACGACGACGAAGAATCTGTTCCGTCCAGGTAGAGAACGGGTGCATAAACACTAGGAAAATGCAGGAATACATTTGATATCTAGTCAGCTCGAAGAAATCCGAGGTTGGTCTACTAAGTGCATGCATACATAGAGAGCAATAGTCAGAGATGCTGCTCAACAAACAAATGGTCGCAAGTCACCCCGCAGGCCTCTTTTCCCTCATGAGCTAGCAACTTTGCACCTCGTTTATTTGAGACGATAAGAACAGTACTTTATATATAGAAATATAGAATATATAGTACTTTGATCATCCTAGAGTCACACAAGTCACTGCAAAGGCCAGATATGTATTACACCACCTGTAAGACGTTACGAACGCTGTCAAATGCATAGAGCATCCGTAGTAAACTGAACGACCTTGGGAGCTTTGTCTGGTTTTTTTATTTGTCTTGATTTTCTTGAATAACCAATGCTCTATGCATTCTTGAGTAACAAATTGAAAACAATGTGGAGTAAATTTTTAAAGCGGTTAGTAGTCAACATGCTTGATTAACTGAATCAGCGAAGACATCGATTCTTTCAAAATGCTTCGACCAGGAAAGAAATTAAGAAGCAGAATGTAAAGCAAACGAGACAAAAGTTTATAGAGAGCCAAATACCTAAATACTTCTCCATCGATACGCATACTAATATACCGACGCTTAAACACGGTATGAAATGTAACATGAAGATGTAGATATAGCACATTAGTTCGCCTGAAAAAAAGAAAAATGGAAAAAAAAATCGGTATATCTTCTTGTCTTTCATATGGACATCCAGTGGGAATCTGAGAAAAAAGGATGAGTTGCAGATGGAATAGTTAAGCGTTCAAACGCTCTGTCCGCAACGATCATGTAAGGTTCAAAACCCCATAATCTTATTCTAGTAATGGAGTTTAAACCAACAATGACGTTACTGTTACTAATCGCCCAATAAAAACTGAAATGTTAATTTGACTTTAGCTTAGTGTCTATTCTTTCTTTATAGCACGGCATGATGTGAATTACACCCAAATTTGAGCACAGATTCGAGCCTCGGTTGGGCTTCGAAACAGCGCTTACCCTTCCCTTGGACTCAGGTTTTATCTGCCACACCAACCGAGGCCATTGCTCTGCCGTTCTCTCAGCTAATTATTTTGCTCTAACTGTACAATCAAAAATCACTGGTAAAAAATGTTAATGTTGAAATCTCTTTATTTTATCGACAGAGAAGCTCTCTTCGTTCAAAAACGTTGTTACTTCATGGGAAATCTAATTTTTTAGTGACTACCTTCAAAATTTTCAGTTAACAGCACCTTAAAAATGAAAACAAAAGTCGAGCAATAAGACGGCCTCCGCCTTGATTGATTTACAACGCGCCACTAATACCAATGTTTTTACAACGGCTGTTAACGTCCCACAGAACAACTTCGCTTCGCTCAACGAGTAATTCACAGAAAGTGACAGCCTAAGCGCTAACCGATAAATTTCAGTTAAATTAAATTCCAATTGCTATTTGTTACTCTTAATTTCTAATATGCCATCATCAAATCATTAAGGTTTTCATTCGGAGCTGTCTTTTCTGTTTTCTTCACTTACAGTGTTCATAGAGGAACTACAGTAAGACTAAAACAGCACCGTAAGGCGCTGAGTACCGTACCCAGCGTCCAATTGCCATGGTAGAATCCCACTATATGCACCATATTCTGCAGTATACAAAACACTGCCACCAGAAGATCAGCAAGCGCCAAATTCGCCAGAAAGTAATTGGTACCGGTTCGCATTGTTGGGTGCAGTGCGATGACGACAATTGTGAAAACATTGCCTACATGAAAATATGTATATAAAATCATGTAGCTACTACTTATAAAGTTAAAAACCAGACACTTGAAATGAAAAACAAATGATAAATGAAATGGAGAGGTACATTTCACAGAGTAGCTTGATGTGGACTTCGATGCGCTTCTTTGTCCACTCGAGTGCTCATCAATCCACTTCCTCTCTATCCCTTCAGGCTAGGTAATTTTGGTTTTAATCTTATCCACGAAGGATTTTCTTCGATCCGAAGCAGGGCTGTTCAAGAATTAAAGGCAGGTCAAATTGAACCGACATTCATTAATAAGACCAAGTGCTTAGGTGGTAGTCGAATCGGCACATAAATTCGATAGCTTTCGTGGTGACAGATGAGAAACTACGAACCAAATGAGGTAAGTGCTGGGATCTGCACAGCATTTTACATCAAACTATATAGGCAGCAGTAAAATTTACTAACTTTAGTCACGTGTGTTCGCAGTTGAAGGTGCTTCAGTGCAAATTGTAGTGATAGCATAGAACAGACAGGAATACGAACAAGTCAACAAACTGACTAGAAATTTTTTGTAGGAGTTACGAATGCTTACCAAGTAAACATACGATGAATACGAATAAGTAGATGAAGATGAATGAAAATCGCACAGCGGTCTGATCAAGCAATGATCCATCCTCGCACAGATCTATCCAGTCCTCCTCAATTATGCGGACGGTCGTATTAGTTATGTCCACCGCCATTACAAATCTAAAAATCGATATATTGATTGGCGATTATGAACGGAAATGCACAGCATGCGGCAAAAGTTTTTTTGCAGTGACTAAAATTTATATGCTACAATAAAAATGAGCGAAACTGCACTTGCAGGAATTGTTTTGTATAACAGAGGTAGCTAAAGCACTTGCTAATGAGAAATTTTAGGGAATGGGTGGTAAACGAGCTACGGTATTTTTGCCATTTAAAAAGTGGAAATAATGGATTCAACTCCCAATATTAGAGAAACAGTGAAATGAAGACAAAGGATCAAATGTTTGCTTTTCCTGTAGAAAAAAAATAGAGAAAAGCTGGCGCGAGTGCGGCAATAATAATGGACGAAACCAATAACAACCGACAGGTAGCACAAGGGATATGAGCGTGAAATGAAGCAGAGTCGATGGTTTAAATCCGGATTCAAACCATGTAGGCTCTCCGTCGTTTCATAATCATAATCAAATTACAACTGATTCATTTAGAAAGGCAACGAGAGAGAACAATTTCATCAGCGAAATGTCACATTTGGAGCCTTAATTGATTTTTACCTAAATCGTGATGTGATGGTCCGCTAATCTTATTAGAATTGACTAACGCTAGCGCGCCGGTAATTTTCGGGAGGTTACAAAGGATCACAAAGGTCCTAAAATAAGCTTGTTTCCCTAATGAGCAAAAATTAAAAGATATTTCTGATAAAAACTTGTTCTTATTACGATGGGCATGCAGACTCCCCCTTTGATCGCTTCACGTGCCTAATTTTTTTGCGGACTTGGTTGAGCTATTAGAACTCATTGAATGGCCTTTGAATAGGTTCTAAGTTTTCCATATTAAATCCCTGTTCCCAGGATCGACTCTCTACTAACCTCAGAATTCGATTTTGAGTGCGTCGTTTTCTTGTTCAGCAATCAAAAGCATACAGCGTACACTTACTTCCACATACAAACACTTGCAACACAACAGTAGCTGACGTTTCAGCGGTATCGTCTTCTTCCGAGCCTTGAAGGGTGTATTGATAGGCAATTCACTACGCCAAACGCTCCAATAACAATTACAGAAAAGCGAAAATCTATATGGTAATCATATGATCAAAAACTTCTCAAAACAAACCAACAGTTTTTTCTTAAGTGCCTTTCACTGAAGCGAAAGGAATTTTTGCAGCCAAAGACTCCTTGTCTTCATGAAGGAAAGCTCCTAGATATTGCGGTGCTATCTTAGACAGATGCCAAACGCCATTAACGTGTACTCAAAATTTGAACGGACACCTAGTACTCTTTGGTGCTTACCTAAGTGAGCATGAGCACAAACAAAGACCGCTTTATTTATTTGTATGATCTTATAAACTGATCTTGTTCAGCTGATGCAAGGCTGGTATAGGTTTTCGTTGTCGTTGTTGCTGCTACTGCCGCTGCCGTTGCCGCTGGTGTTGTTGGTCGATGACTGACGTTTCGGTGATCTCGCCTTCTCAGAGACCAGGCCTATTTTATACAAAAACAGCTCAATTATTCGTTGGAAAAAAATTGGAGTGCCAATGAAGATCTAACATTTAAATAAACGCCGTATTCATCAAAAACTATTCACCGCGCTGTTACGAGTGGGCCTGCCTGCGTGTTGTTGAAGATGTGGGACGGCAAGCGAGACCCACCTAAGGGGTGAAAAAATCGTTTCGTAATAACGCGTCAGATCACGTTTGATAGTGAGGCATTTGTTTTACGGTTCATCATTGAATTTTTGAAATTTATCCATAACACCTTAAGCGTCTTGAGCGTTGATGTCTTTGATTCCTCCGTTAGGAACAGGATAGTCACTTTAAAATCATCACCATTGTGCTTTTGTGCCCTATATGTACCTAGAGCAGTGCTTTGACGAACTTTAATTTTTCCAATGTTTAACGTTTTGTTTTCTGCCTTCTATAATTTTCATGGCAAGTTACTAAGCGAAATACAACCACAACGTTGCTGAGATATTTGCAAAACTCTGGACCGCAGGTGTCTATGGTGGGGAACGAACGCGCTATTATCCTTTCCGGGGAGTAACGCGTTCACCACCACACCATGCGGGTCCTTTGTTTCGCACGTCTCTCAGCTATTTCTATCGATCTTTTTGCCACAGCAATCACCCGTCAGCGGGGTTGATCTGGGGAGCGCAAATCGGCATAGAACCCCAGAGTCCAGAGTTTTGCAAATATCTCAGCAACGTTGTGGTTGTATTTCGCTTAGTAACCTGCCATGAAAATTATAGAAGGCAGAAAACAAAACGTTAAACATTGTGATTTCAACTACAGCCATAGCTTAACTGGGTTCTATGCCGATTTGCGCTCCCCAGATCAACCCCGCTGACGGGTGATTGCTGTTGGCAAAAGATCGATAGAAATAGCTGAGAGACGTGCGAAACAAAGGACCCGCATGGTGTGGTGGTGAACGCGTTACTCCCCGGAAAGGATAATAGCGCGTTCGTTCCCCACCATAGACACCTGCGGTCCAGAGTTTTGCAAATATCTCAGCAACGTTGTGGTTGTATTTCGTTTAATTTTTCCATCTAGATGTTCTTTTATGCGGACAAAAAGTGGTCTACCCATTTCCTCAATGAATTCCTCACCGCATGCCTTACCGAGGTCGAGGATATTGTACTTGGACTCACGCAACCCCCGTCCCTCCCGTTAAAACGGATTATACAGTTTTCCCAGCTGGGCAAACGCCCATAGAGACCGTTTCGAGCTAACTGACGGTGTAGGGTATTGCGTGGGATGTTAATAATCGTTACATAATTTTCAAGACCACTTTTTCTTAAGCATCTCTTAATGGCGCAACTTCCTTTATTTGATATGAAGGGCAGCTTGAAAGGGATCTTCTTTAGGTTCAAAACATTAGTTTGAGGAACAATCCTGCGCTTTTGTTTGACCTAAGCGGCTTCTGCTTCATACCCTATGGAAGTAGCTACTTTTGTGCCAGGTTTAGCTATTCCTTCGTTTCCTCTTCTCCTGAGCGCACATTTTTAGCCGCTCGGTGCTCGTTTTTGGCTAGTGCTTTTATCACGTGGGAAGGATGAGGAAAGTTTTATTTGAATATTTAAGAATGGAAGTCAGTTCTAGGTTGGTCTTTCTTACGTGAATTGTATATACTCTGACTGTCTATTTAAGAATTCAAAGCACTCATCCAACTGTTCCTGTGTGGAACAGACGATGAAGCAGTCGTTCACTCATCGACAGTAGAGTTAAGGTCGGCGATCGAGAACTGAAGCTTCCACCTTAGACATGAAGGCGATGGAAAGGGTTGTTGCTAGTCGCTGTCACTTGGCCAACCCTCTGAGTGCTCGAGTGCTTTGAATTGTTAAATAGGCAGTCAGAGTATACAAAATTCACACGGAAAAAACGAACCGAGAACTGGCTTTCATTCTTAAACATTCAAATATAGCTCTCAGAAAGCTGCTATATAAGAAAATGGTATCATAAACCATGTAGTAAAATTGTGCTAGTTCACTACTTCTACCCTCATCTTCCACACATAGAAAAAGCATTCATCAAAAACATGTACCGAACGGCTAAAAATGTGTGCACAGGAGAACAGGATAGGAAGGAATGGCCAAACCTGGCACGAAAAATAGCCAATTCCAATGGCTACGAAGCAAAAGCCACTCGGGTAAGGCAAAAACGTACGGTTGTTCCCTAAAATAATGTTTCGAGCGTAAGTAAGATCCCTTTTAAGCTGCCCTTCATATCAAAAAATAAGTTACACCATTGAGAGGCACTTGAGGAAAAGTGTCCTTGAAAATTGAGTGGCAATTACTAACCTCCCACCCAATACCCTACGCCGTCAGTTAGTTCGCAACCAACCTCTGTGATCGTTTGCGCAGCACAGAAAGTGTATGATTTGTCCTAACAGGAGACACGGGGTTTACATGAGTTCAGGTACAACACACTTGATCTCGTCTCTGCGGTGAGGAACACATCGGGGAAACAGGTAGACCGCTTTGTGCTCACATAAAAGAACATCTGGATGGGAAAGTTAAAATTTGTCTAAGCACTCTTCTAGGTACGCTTAAGACACGAAAGCGCAATGACGATGATTTTGAAATGATTGTGCGGATCTTAGCGCAGGAATCGAAGACATCAACGCGTGAAACTCTTGAGGTGCTTTGGATAAATTTCAAAAATCCAAAGATGAACCGCAAAAACCATTGCCTCACTAACACATGTGGTCTGGCCCCTTATTTCGAAACGATTTTTCCACCTGGATGGCTTCCGCTCGTTATCCCACATAAACAACGCGCGGACAATCCACTCGTGACAACACGGTGGGTAGTTTTTGAACAATATGGCGTTCATTTAAAAGTTTGTTCTACATTAAAACTATAAATATTTCACCGAACATAAAGCTACTGTTACATAAAATAGGTCCAAGCATATCGAAAGCAAAGCGACTAGAAGGCTCCGTTCATGTTGCCCTTTATTTCGAACGATATAAAGGCATCTATAAAACGTTGCTTAAAAAGGCCCTGGCTAGGATAATCGGTAAGAGTGACAAAAATGCCACAGGTTACTCTGAGATGTCAGCTAGTTCGTAACCCTCTACATGACCATCTGTGTAAAACGTAAAATTGCATAATTAGCTTTAATGGCACAGACGGTGATTGCATGAGTTCTAGTACTGTGTACCTAATCCCTTGTAAAGTGTGTGGGGATGAATACGTTGGCGAAATGGGTAAAACACCCTGCGTCCGCTCGAAAAAACACCTAGTCGGTAAACCTAAATGGAAATAAAACACTCCACTAGGCGCCCATAGGACACAAAAATACAACGGAGGTGCTTTTGAACTAGGATTCGCTATCGTCAAGCAGGAATCGAAAACATCAGCGCGTAAAACTCTTGAAGTGATTTGGATTAATTCCAAAAATCCAAAAATGAACAGCAAGGAAGAGTGTCTTGTTATCACGCATGACCTCGCACCATATCTTAGGCTGATTCAATGATCTGACACAGGCACAGTCCTCGCC